GGTGCCCAGTTATTAAAAAGATAAGTATCTTAGGCAGCCCATCTGAACTGATTGTGATTACTCACAAGGGGGTCACACTGAAAGATTAAAGGCACAACTGGGGTGGGGGGTGGGGGGAGTGGGGGGCCACTAGACCACTTCATCCCTGATTGCTGGAATAGCAATGTGGATTGATAGGATGCTCACCTTTCATCTTTCAGACACGATTGCTGAAGACTAAAAGGGTGCATGAGTTGTTAGGTCAGCAGGACCCAGGATAGGCAGCCCTGAAAAAGATGGGGACTGAAACAGCGGTTTCTTTTTAATAAATCATTTTATTGGGGGCTCTCTTACAGCTCTTATTAACAATTCATGCATCCATTGTATCAAGCACATTTGTACATAGGTTTCCATCATCCTTTCCAAAACACTTTCTCTCTACTTGAGCCCTTGATATCAGCTCCTCTTTTTTTCCCTCCCTCCCCCACCCTCCCAACCTCATGAACCCTTGATAATTTATAAATCATTTTTATTTTCATATTTTACACCGTCTGCTCTCTCCCTTCACCTGTTTCTGTTGTTCATCCCCCATGGGAAAGGGTGTTGTACATTGATTATTGCTATGGGTTCCCCCTTTTACACCCTTCCCCCCACCTTCACTCTACCCCCATGGTATTGCCACTCTCATTATTGGTCCTGAGGGGTTTATCTGTCCTGGATTCTGCATGTCGAGAGCTCTTATCTGTACCAGTGAACATGCTCTGGTCTAGGGAGATTTGTAAGATAGAGCTGAGGTCATATAGTCGAGGAAGCATTAAAGAACTAGAGGAATGTTGTGTGTTTCCTAGGTGCTATATTGCACCCTGGCTAGTTCATCCTTCCTTGTGATCCTTCTGTGAGGGGATGTCCAACTGTCTACAGATTGGGCTTTGGGTCTCCATTCCAATCCCCCTCATTTGCACCAAAATGGTTGCTTGTTTGGGGTCTTCCGATGCCTGGTACCTGATCCCACCTGTGCTTCTTCCACGTGGGCTTTGTTGCTTCCCTGCAGATGGCCGCTTGTTTAACTTCAAACCTTTAAGACCCCAGATGCTATATCTTTTGATAGCCGGACACCATTAGCTTTCTTCACCACATTTGTTTATGCACCATTTTGTCTTCAGCGATCGAGCCAAAAAGGTGAGCATCGCAGAATGCCAGGTTATTAAAACAGTGTTCTTGCGTTGAGGGAGTATTTGAGTTGAGGCCCAATGTCCGTCTGCTACCTTAATACTTAACCTATAAATGTATGTACATAGACCTATACCCCCATAGTGAGATGATGGTTTCTAATATGTCCTTTTCTTTCACATAAAGGTATTTATCTGCTCGATGTCATGATTCTTGTTAGATTTGTGACTACTTGTATGTTTTGGGGGTTTTTTCGGGTGTTTATCTATACAAAAAAATCCAGGATAGGCAGCTGCACTGAGACAGTGACGGAACTGAGGGCACCTGGGAGCATGTGAGGGGAAGGTGGAGGGGGATTGGGAGTTAATTGTGACAGGTACAAGAGAATAACAAATGTTCTAAAATTGACAACAAGGAGTGGGTAGCTTTTCTTGACACATTTCAACAATTGAATTGTATCTGAGAGGAATTACTGAAATGTGAATGATGAGTAAACATAACTGGAGTAGGAGGGAGGAAAATATATATGTATACATATATATGTACACACACACAGGAGGACTTACCAAAAAAAACGAATTTTTTTCAAAGCTATGTATTTAATTTTTTTTTTACAAAACAACTTTATCACCTTCAAAGTACTCTCCATGACACTTAATACCTTTTTCAAATCTGCAATTCCATTCTTGGAAACACTTTTTAGATTCATTTCTTTGGATGACTGACAACACCTCCCTCATTTTTTTGTTTGGTTTTTATTTTTTTAAGCATTTTATTGGGGGTTCTTACAGATATTATAACAATCCATAAATCAGTTATATCAAACAAACTTGTACCTATGTTGCCATCATCATTTTCAAAACAGTATCTTTCTACTTGAGCCCTTGGTAGCTCCTTTTGTTTATCCCCATCCCCCACGCTCTCATCCTCGTGAATCCTTGACAAATTATATATTTTTTTCAATTTAATCATTTTATTGGGGGCTCGTACAACTCTTATCACAATCCATACATACATCCATTGTGTCAAGCACATCTGTACATTTGTTGCCACCATCATTCTCAAAACATTTGCTTTCTACTTGAGCCTTTGGTATCAGCTCCTCATTTTATTATTATTTTCATATCTTACACTGTTCGTTGTCTCCCTTTACCTATGTTTCTATTGTTCATCCCTGGCAGGAGGGGTGTGATACATCCATCATTGCTATCAGTTCCCCCTTTCTGCCCCTTCCCACCCCCTCACTCCGTCGTTTTTTTTCTTCACTTCTTCTACGTCATCAATTCACTGTCCTTTCATGTCCCTCTCCAAAAAAGAAGTCACACTGAATGTGGTGATTCAGGTACATGGACCAAGAGAGGCATGCTGTTTTTTGCCAAAAACTGGCTGGCTGAGATGACCGTGTAAGCAAGTCCATTGTCATTGTGGCAAAACCAGTGCCCTGTCTGTCACACTGTTATGCAATCTTTTCAGAACCACATACAACTTTCCTCTAGTTCTTTAATGCTTCCTCCCCACTATCATTACCCCAATTCTACCTTACAAATCCGGCTAGACCAAAGCATGTACGTGGGTACAGACAGCTAAGAGCTGGAAACACAGGGAATCCAGGACAGATAAACCCCTCAGGATCAATAATGAGAATAGCGATACCAGGAGGATAAAGGGAAGGTGGGAGGAGAAAGGGGGAAGATCACAATGATCTACTATAACCCCCTTCCAGAGGGGCGGACCACAGAAAAGTGGGTGAAGGGAGACATCTGTCAGTGTAAGACATGAAAAAATAATAATTTACAAATGATTTAAGGGTTTGGGAAGGAGAAAAATGAGGAGCCAATACCAAGGGCTCAAATAGAAAGCAAATGTTTTGAGAATGACAATGGCAACAAATGTACAAATGTGCTTGACACAATGGATAAATGTATATATTGTGATAAGAGTTGTAAGATCCCCCAATAAAATGATTTTTAATTAAAAAAAATAAGACATAGCACCTGGAGAATTAAAGACTTGTAAATTACACAAGTGACCATCCAGCAGAGAAGCAATAAAGCCCACATGGAAGAAGCATAGAAGTCCTTGTGATCGTGAGGTGTCAACCGAAAGAGCTATCAGAAGTTCAAAAACATGCAACCAGCTCTATGCGAAGGGGCATGGACCCAAAATCCACCTGCAAGATAATTGGACAGTCCCACTCAGAAGGGCCACACAGAACGGATGATAAGTACAAGGTGTGGTTATGGCACTGATGAACCATATAAATAACCTCTAGTTCTTTAATATTTCCTCCCCTCACTATTAAGATTTTTATTTCCTTACCTATTGTTAGATTTGCATGTTCATTTGCCTATTTAAGGTTGTTCGGTACATGAAAGTCAAGATAGATGACACTCAGAGACAGGACAGCAGTAAGTTATGGGAACTGGAGGGGGGAGAAGGATTGGAGAGCTGATAGCATTGATTGATTGTATAAATCCACTCGATAGGTTGAGCAACAGAATTGCACATGAATGGATATACTGGATTGTGTAATACATGTCAAGAAACTATTATAAAATAAAAATTAAAAGAAAAAAAAGAATAGTATCTTCAGCCTTAAAGGCTTGTTTTCAAACAAGCAGCCATCTAAATGCGGTGTCAACTAAATTCACTTGGAAGAAGCACACCAGCTTGTATGATTCAAGAATCATAAATAATAAAATCCAAATCCAAGTGAGAGAATGGTACAAAGCTCAAATTCTGAATACCGTTTGCAGAAGGCTGGGGATGACAGTGGAAGCACAGGTCATTTGCAGGTCCCCACACGGATGACGCCTCCAGTGAACGGGCTCTGACCTCTGACCTCTGACCTCGGTCCAGGGACGTCAACAGCCTTGTGGGACAGAGAGCTTTGTAAAATTGATTGCCGCAGAGGTAAAGGGCAACCTTTTCAGTTGATCTCCTTGATGACTCATTTTAAAGTTGTTTCCATTTTTAGTATGTTCTGCTTTTTTTTAGATTTAGGTTTTTGTTTCGTCCTTGTTGGGTTGGGTTGGGTTTGCGTGTTTCCTCTTTGTGTTTTGTATGATTTTCTGTATATGAAATCTAGTGTAGGTAAGTCTACATAATCGGACAGTAACTGGACTAAGACTGACCTGCGGGGATGACCTAGGGAAGTTGCAGGGTAATGAGGCGCTAACAACAAGAGGAGAAAATGTTCTGAAACGAAGCGTGGTTCTGATTGCACAACTCTGCTTCATAGGATTGAACCATTAACTTGATTATGCGCATTACAGGTCATTAAAGCTATTTTTAGAAAAGGAGGGGGGCAGCGAAAAGGAGGAAGCCTCAACAACAGCGACGGACACCGCGGCTGCCACAACGGGTTCACGCCTAAGGACCGTCGTGGGACTGGCCCGGGCCTGGGCTGCGGGTCAGGTCAACCACGAGCAACTGGACCACAGAACTCACCATCTCTGTGCAGAGGGAAAGGCCGCGCACACCAGAACTACCTTTTTAACCTAGTACATCCGGGCACAATGCACCGCGCCCGGAGCCAGGCCGGCGAAGGCAACCTCTAACTTCCGTCTCCGAAGCCGGCGCGGGAATGACCTTGCGACGCACGCGGCGCGTCTCCGTGGCCGCTTCACACGCGGCGCGCGGGCTCGAGCGTCTACGGCCGCCCGGCGCCGAGCGCGTCCCCGAGAGGGCGTCCGCCGCGCCCGGCGCGTCTGCGCGCGCATGCGCGAGCCCGCTACACACGCGGCGCGCGGGCTCGAGCGTCTACGGCCGCCCGGCGCGGAGCGCGTCCCCAAGGGGGCGTCCGCCGCGGCCGGCGCGTCTGCGCGCGCATGCGCGAGCCCGCTTCCGGGAAGACATGGCGTCCGGGCTGCTGTGCCGGCGCCGCGAGCTCCTGCTCTGGCTTCGGTGCCGGCGTCAGGTAAGGCGGTCCCGGCTGAGTGCCGGCATGCGACCTTGCTCCCGTGACCCGGCCCAGGGACACGCTGTGCTCGCATCGCGAACACCGGCCGGCGGACCTGGACCTGCGTCGCACGACCCCGGGTCGCAGGCGGCCCGGGACCTGGGTTGAGCGGCCGGTGTCTTGTTTGACCCTGGGACTGCAGCTCCCGCCGTGGAGCCGTGGGGTGCACGGTGTGGGGAGCTGAGATCCAGGAGGCCTGGGATCGCGTCCCCAGTTGCATGCCTTCAGGCGAGGTCCGGCCCTGCCGGTGACCCCTGCAGGGACGATGGGTTTACAGAACGTCGGTGGGACCCCCACGCGGAGACTTAAGACTCATCCTTTGACCCCGCTCAGTGCCACAGCTTCGCGGGGCCCTCGCACCGGCTCCCGAAACCGCTGACCGCGAGGCTCCTGTTTCCACCCGGCCAGCACAATGGGCGCCCGCACTACGTCCTGCTGGAGGTCGCGGGACCCCGCTGCCTCAGTACCTCCGCGATCTCATTTGCAGAAGCCCAGGTAAGAAGAGTTTGGTCCCTGAAGCTTTTAGAAAGATGCTTTTTCTTTGGTTTGGGGGGGGAGGGCCGTGCGGTGGTCGCACACTTCCCACAACTCCTAAAAAAAATTAGGGGTGGGATTCATTTGGGAAATGAAACGAGTCACTGATGGCAGTATATGAGATATGGTTCCAAGTGTATGTGTATATTAGAGAAAATTTAAGTTCCCAACCCCTTAATTTCATGGAAATCATTTCCTAAAATGAGACAACTAGGTACTTGGGTTTTTTAAAAGTGAGGTGCTTTAAAGTATAAGTTCCAACATAAAGCAAAAGTCATGAAAGGTACCCAAATGACTGAAGTGTTAGGAAACCCTTATACAAGAAATGACTACCTGACAAGGGAGGACAGGAAATCATATTTAGGTTTAGCTGTCGTCCAAACCTGGACAACTAGAGTCCAGAGAACAGAACTCAGCACTGGCATTCTGTGCGTCTGTCCTGCTGAACAACTTCTTCCCACACAGGTCCAGGCTTCGCCTCCTGCCGTTCCTGTGACACCCGCACCCACAGTAGTGACGGAGGTGGTTCCAGGAGAGACTGCAGATGTGGTCCAAGCCATTGCTGAGCAGAGCTTCTCTGAACTGGGCCTTGGATCCTACACCCCAGTCGGGCTGGTCCAGAACCTTCTGGAATTTATGCATGTTGGCCTGGGCCTGCCATGGTGGGGGGCCATTGCTGCATGTAAGGGGAATATATTCTGGGTCAGGGTAGAGTGGGGGTACCCTGGGGACCGGGTGGTTAAGTGCTTAGCTGCTAAGCAAAATGTTTAAACCTGCCAGCGACTCTGAAGGAGACCGACATAGGCCCACTTCCAAGAAGAGTACGGCCTTCAGAGCCTGTGGGGCAGTTCTCTTCTCTCCTATAGAGAGAGTCCTTATGAGCCAGCTTCGATTGGACAGCAACAGCTTTAAGGGTAGAGAAAATGGCAACTTGGGGTTCCAATCTTTTTTTTTTTTTTAATTTCAAAGATTGTTGGCCTTTAGGATTTCAATCTTTTAAAGATGGTAGTCTGTAAGTTAAGGAAGGAATTGCAGAAAAGCAGGTTCTTCAAATGAGGGATAGAGGTCTGTGGTACTTAGATGCTACTCATGTTCCTTAAAGAGCATTATAGAATCCCTAGGTAGGAGCTCTGATGGCATGGTGTGTTACACATTAAACTGTTAACCATGAGGTCAGCAGTTCCCAACCACCAGCCATTCCAAGGGAGGAAGATGAGGCTTTCTGCTCCCCTCAGGATTTAGTCTCGGAAACCCACGGTGGCGGACAGCAATTGGACTGTGCTAGAGGGTTGCTTTGAGTGAAAAAATGGACTTGATGGCGGTGAATGAGTGAGTGAGATCATCTGGGATTTAAGAAGTATCACTATTTGAATGTGAGCATAGAATTAGAATAAAAATTCATTATCAACAGTGATGAAGATACTCTGATTTTCAGGTTAAGCATTTAGATCTCAAATTTGGAGAGCCATTCACATTGCTTTTTTGTAAACGGTGAAACTGTGCTTCACATTCAGCTTCATCAGTTATCCCTTTTCTCCTGTCTCTTCGAAGTCTCCCTCCTGACTGCCTAAAAGTGGTCTACATCCAGTGGACCTACTTTCTTCCCATTCGCTCCTTGACCCTTAGTAGCTTGGCTCTTAGAAATTTCATCTCATTCTAACTGCCAGTGATACGCTTGTTCACCCACTTGTGTTAACCATCCTTCACCATTCTCCATCGGACACCAAAGACGTTGAAATCCATCCTGGAACTTTACGGCAACCTCTCCTGGTTTCCTTCCTGTCTTTCTGGGCACACCATCCCATTTCCGTTAGCCAGCCCTCCACTCATCCTTCCAGGGCTGCCGTCCTAGGCTCTCCCTTCCTACCCCACATCGCCATCAGTAATGTTCGCCAAGCCAAAGCTGTCTCTCTGTGGTCTCTTATCAGCTCTGACCCTCTTGGATGTCCTATCAAAACCAAAACTCCCTGCCATTGAGGATTCCGACTGGCCACCCTATGGGGTAGATTCCTATAGATACTCTAAATTAAAACATTAGGATGATTCGGAGATACAAAGCGGAAGAAAAGAAATCGGAATGAATTCAAGCTGAAGTCAAATTACCTCCAACGCCAAAAGTCACCTTTTATAGGAAAATGGACAGGATTGCTGGTTATTTGCTTGGAGAAATTAACACTCGCTTTGTTCTCTGCAGAGAATAGTGCCTTGAGGGAATTAAATCTTATCCCTCCCCTTAGCTCTGGGTCCCTTTGGGCAGCAGTCACTGTGGTAAAGGTTGAAATGAGAGAAAGCTGTTCACTGAGAACTGAAAAACTGTCCATCTTCCGCTGCAGAACTGCCTGGAGTTTCACTCCAGTTTGTGTTTTCCAGGTACGGTCCTTGCCCGCTGCCTGGTTTTTCCAATCATCGTCAAGGGCCAGCGAGAAGCAGCCAAGATCCACAACCACTTGCCAGAGATCCAGAGGTTTTCCACTCGGATCCGGGAGGCGAAGTTGGCAGGAGACTCGGCTGAGTGTGAGTCAGTTACAGGATGCGTTTGGGAGAGGGCCTCATTTATACTTTCCCTGACGTTCTGTTGAGGGACAGCAGCAACCTACCGCAGGAGTTACTGCCGTTGAGCAGGTTCCAAAGCCTTGCCTGCACCCTGAGCCCAGTGCTCTGGTGACAAGCCAGGGTCAGGTAGAAGTTTCACAGGCCAGGCGGGGCTCGAGGCTGTGCACAGCCTCTGAATGACTCCCTCCTCCCCTCCCAGTCTACAGAGCCTCCACTGAGATGACACTCTATCAGAAAAAGCACGGTGTGAAGCTCTTCAAACCACTCATTCTACCTCTGACTCAGGTAAGCAAAAGCATCCCATCCCCCTCCTCAGTCCTTCCTGAATCCACCCACCTCTGTGCGTCCTGTGCCTCGGCTTGCGCCCAAACGGGTGTTGGCATAACTCATGGCTTTCGGTAAGCAGGAAATGAGACGTTGGTCCTCACCTTGAGTGCCAATGCTGTTTCTGCTGTGTGCTAGGCCCCGATCTTCATCTCCTTCTTCATTGCCTTGAGAGAAATGGCCAACCTTCCAGTGCCCAGCATGCAGACCGGGGGCCTTTGGTGGTTCGAGAACCTCACAGTATCCGACCCCACCTACGTGTTACCACTGGTGGTCACTGCCACGATGTGGGGTGTCCTAGAGGTAAGCGAGGCTGGCCACGTGCCCAGCCTGCAAAGCCGACGGCTTGAGTGAACTGGGAATGTCAGTCATGTGGTTATGTGGAACGGTTTGTCGTTCTCCACTCGCTGGACCGGTATGAAATTAAGAGCCGATTCATTAAAACCGACGTGCATTGATGAGCCCTTCCCTCCACCTTGTGTTTTATTGCATCTTGCAGCTGGGTGCCGAGACAGGTGTGCAGAGTTCTGACCTCCAGTGGATGAGACAAATCATCAGAATCATGCCGCTGGCAGTCTTGCCCATAACCATCCATTTCCCCTCGGTGGGTAAAGGTTTAGGGGCGGGTGCCCCGTCCTTTGGCCTAGCCCGGCCAGTTCCTAGCAAGCTCACCACCTGCTGCTTCTGAGCGCCTTCTCCTCTTCTCCCGCAGGCAGTGTTCATGTACTGGCTCTCCTCAAATATCTTCTCCCTGGGCCAGGTGGCCTGCCTGCGGATCCCAGCTGTACGCACTGCACTTAAAATCCCCCAGCGTGTGGTGCATAACCCGGAGAAATTAGCTCCACGGGAAGGTTTAATAAAGAGCTTCAAACGGGGTGAGGCCCAGCCCTCTGTGATACAGGATTTGGGGGGGGGCGGGGAGTACAGGCGGGCAGGTAAAAATGGTTGCATGACAGGCGCCATTCGCCCCTCTTCACGCAGGCTGGAAGAACGCTGAGCTCGCCCATAAGATGCGTGAGCGTGAGCAGCGCATGCAGAACCACCTAGAGCTAGCAGCCAGGGGTAAGTCACCTTCTCCGGCAAAATTCCATCCTTGGTTTCTTCCCCTCCTTTTGTCCTGAGACTTGTTTTCTCCTTTCCCCAGGTCCCTTACGACAGACCTTTGCCCACAGCCCTCTGCCCCAGCCAGCAAAGACTCCCCCTCCTGCCACTCCTCCCGGCCACGGCGGCAGCAGCAAACCAAAGTCAAAGCCATGGCAGGACACAATTATCTGACTGTCCCTGCTCAGACCGGCAGGCACGCGTCTCCTCACAGACTCTTCCTCAGAACAGGGCTTGATGCGGGGCCCTGGCCCCCGTCCTAGGTACTGTGGGACCTGGAGGTGTGGATTCCACTACAGACTCTCATACCTGTGTGTACAGAGAACACTGGGAAGCCAGGTGGTCTTCCCACCCTCAGAATTAGTAAAGCTCTGTGTCACGTGGCTGCCTTCTCATACTTATTAAGCAGGGACGTGGACTGTGTGCTCTCCAGAAACACGGAATGGGTGGAAGGTGATTGCTCGTGATGTCCCATGGAGCAGACAAGTGTCTCAGTGTTTTTCCCCATTGCTCCTGAGCCCCCTCACCTCACAGATAGCTTGTTGCTGTCCACCTTTGTTGTGCAGTCGGAGGGTACGACTGACTAGATTTTATTAATCCACGATCCCTTACAGTAGAGGACCAGTGAAAACGAGGGCGGCCCGGTGGCTGTAACAAGGCTCAAACAATGGCAAGGATGCTGCAGGACTGGACAGGGTTTCCTCCTCTTACACACGGGACTGCTGGGAGTCGGAACCAACACCTAACAGCAATAATAATTCCCTGTAAATGTTATTTAAGAACTTGATTGCTCAAATACTTAGGAATTAAGAAAGTTGAACGTTACGTGAGGGCTGAAGTGCCACACATTAACCATTGTGATACCCTCCGAGCTTTATCAGGCCATGCATTCATCTCGAAGGTGGGGCTCTGCCCCTGCCAATGAATATGAGAAAGTTTGGCCCTGTTGCCAACTCCCATTTTTGGTAAAAATAGTGTGCAGTCGCTTATGAGCTTAATCTGTACAGATTGACAATTCATGTACTGCAGTCTGAAGCCAGTCTACACTGTATAATGTCCTTTTCTCAACTGTGTGTTAATTCCTATGCCATTGGATAAAGGATTATTACACTTAACAGAATTGCCTTATCTTCGTCCTGCCCACCCCCAGGAAAGTTGATGTTCTTACTAACAACCTAATACTCTCCTACACCAGATGAGAGACGCTCTTCTGTGTGTACGGGCCGGACGCATCAACCCTCAGCAACTGACTGGGAAAGGGGAAAAAAAAACCAGGTACTTTCTGGCATAAATCTGTTTTGTCTTTCTGCCAGTGTAGCAGACGCTGCCCCAAAGCGGTTAAAGGGGCAAATAAACCCACTGCAATCTTAGGGACAGATCCCTTTTATTTGTCCAGCACCTGTGACAGTTTCGTGTCTCTCGGAGACAAGAAGCCCGGAGCATAATTGGCCCTTTGAAAGGAAAAGACAAATGGGTGGGCACACCCAGATGTGAGTGAGTCTCTGAAACACCTAGGAATGTGCGAGACGTGCTCCCCATCACAGTCCGCCTTCCCTTCTTAAAAAATCCAGAACACTGTGTAGCAAAACTAATAAATTACGTTCAATCTCTCAAAAAGCAAGTTCACGAGGTTGAAGCTGCCTTGACCAGGCATTTGGATAGGTGCCTCCAGAGAACGGAGCTTTCCTTCCAACTTCCTTCCTCCGACTCCAGCCGTAGGAAGAAGCAAGCAGTCCGATTGTACGACTCAGGATTCACAGTGATACTTAGTCCGACTTAGGATCGTGGTGCTTGGGCGTGTCTTCCCCATCTTCCAAATCCATCTCGGCAGCAACTGACATAGACAGGACTTGGAGGTACTTTGTGGCGGATGCTATGAAAAGAAGCTGGAGTCAAGACTGGGAAGAAGGCAACTGGGCTGAGCTCAAGTGGCACACATGGGGCTGGGGCTGGGCCTGCGGGTAGGGACTGCGTCCGTTAAACCCCGGGGTTAGTAATGGGAAGGGGCTATGGGGTAAAGAGTTTGGAACCTTGATGTACAGAGAAGGCCAACCAAGCCATGTACTAGCTGCTTCTCCCTGGGGGAGCTCAGGCTTACCCACAATCCTCCGGAGACAAGGAGGCCGCTTGCCCTCTGGCACTCTGATGATGAGGAAGTAAAAGGGCAGGCCCGAGAGGGCAATGGCAATGCCAATGAGGGAGTTGATGGTATCGCTGTAGAGCGGAACGGCCACCAGGAAGATGGTGCAGAGGCAGAAGACAATGGGGAAGCACAGGCTGAGCTGCAGGCAGGGAACAACGAGATGAGACCTGCTGGGATGCGTAGCCAACACCACCTAACTCCTGTGGACATCAGAGCCCTGACCCTCCGCCTTCCCAGCCCTTCATCTCCACACCCCCACCGGGTCCTAAGCAAAGGTAGAGAGCGAACTTCAACTTGTCTTTCAGAGCCTCCTGTGGCCGCTGTTCTCGCAGCTCCAGATGGAGCAGAAATAATGACTTGAGATGAGTTACCTTGAGGGGACGAGGCCGATCGGGCTCTTTCCAGCGCAGATAGAGCTGCCCCACGATGGAGAGCCCCACAAAGAACCAGTAGCTGAAACTGTAGTAGTTAATGAGCTGGAAGATGTCATCCACACACAAGTAGATCAGTGCCATGATGCCCTGTGGAGACACCCGGTAGGGACCTCACGTCAGAGCACTCTGCCCTTCTCCCCTCCCAGAGTCCTGAGTCTTCCCCCATCTATTCTTTCCCCTACCCACTCCTCCTCCCTTACCATCCTACTTCCAATACGCCTAGCAGAAGTCAGCCCCTTCAAACCGTAAGGTCACCTGTGAAGCACAGCTCAAAGCATAGAACATAAATTTTGAACTGCCACTGAGTCAGTGCCAACTGTAGGATGGGACAGAACTGTGCCCTGTGAGTTTTCAAGGCTGCTACCTTGTTAAGAGAGTAGCAAGCCCCTTCTTTCTCCAGCTCAAAACCACCCCTCCACCAACCTCCACTCTCCAGCTTGCTTTCCTCCCCGACTCCACTTTGTTTTCCCTCCTCTCAGGGTCTTCCCGTGCTGCTGCTCCTTTCTCCACTACTTGTAACTCTAAGCCTCAAAGGTACTTCTTCCAAGAAGTCTCGCCCTCAACCGCTCTGCAAGTGGCCCTTCTCTGTACCTCAGACTCCCACAGCACTGCCTTCCCCGACACTCCTTCCACTGCAGGGAGTGCTCTGTGCGATACTCCATGCCTATCCTAGGCCAGAGGAAGTTACCACAACCAAATTCACCAGACAGGGAGCACTGCCCTGTGGTTTTCCAAGCCTCTTCTTTCTCCTGAGGAGCAGCTGGTGGGTTTGAACCACCAACCTTGTGGTTAGCAGCCCAAAGTGTAACCTACTAGGCTGCCAGGCCTCGTGAAAGTTAACCATTCAAAAGAAAAGATAGATTCTTCATCAGCACCACAGCAGTTAGCAGAGTGCCTTGCACATTCTGGGGGTCCCAGCAGTAGTTTTTCTAGAATCTCCTTTAGAGCTTTCAGAAAGTTTGCAAGGCTATATGTCTGAACTAAATCTCTCTGTACACCCCACCCCACCCCCATCCCCATGGCCCTAATCTTACTGCTAGCTTTCCCCTTGAGATTACTCACGTTGAAGAGCAGAGCCGGGACTGGCGTGAACCGCTCAACGTGAATCATGCAGATGGCATCAGGAAGGTGGCCCTCTCTCGAGCCCACAAAGAAAAGCCTGTGTGACGTAAACAGATGAAACTGAGCCACGGACAGTATAGTTCACCTGCCTCACGGCCCAGCCTTTCTTCCACCCCTTCTCCAAAGGAGTGTGAAACACCGAGAATAGTGTTCAACACTGAGCTAAGGGAGAAGTTGAGGCTGCCCCTAGAGACAGGGTATCATTGTAAGCGATGCAGGCGGTACACTCCAAGTCCTGCCATTCACCCCCACACAGCTCCCCAGGGGGAGCACTGCCCTTACCTAGAGGCAGCCACAATGGAGGCATTGAGGCCACCGAAGCAGGATAGCGCCACTGCAAATGGAATTATCCAGTTGAATACCCCAAAAATCTGGTCTGCAAAAGTCTAAAGGAAAGGAATGGACAAGAGTCGTCAGTGGTGCTGAAAGGTGATAAGGCGTCAATACCCCAAAGTCCCTTTGCTGGAACCCAACCCTGCTTCCACCACACATCACAGGACCTTCCAAGCCCAGTGTCCTAAGTGTGCCCCTTCGAGACGCTCCCCCGTCCCCGGGTCCAGGACTTTCCAAAGCTGGAATGTACCCAGGAGCCCGCAGACACACCATCAGACTTTTGCTAATCAAAGCCCTTTACCACAGCAACAGCATCGCTGGCTAGGATGTCACTCATGTCCAGCACGGTATAATAAGCCACATTGGTCAAGATGTAGATGATGGTGACAATGGGCATGGAAATGCCAATGGAGAGGGGCAAGTTCCTACAAGCCAAACAGGATAAAGGATGCATTAGTCTCACGGGGGTCCCCAGCCCCATCTACTCCAAGCCCTACATTCTTCCCCTGCTACACTAGCTGTCCAGTCTGGGGCTGCCTGCTGCGGCTCTCCCGGCCCTGGACCTCAGATAGCCTAGCACACTGGCTCAGAACCCTGAGGCTCTGAACTCTTAGGAACTCAGAAACATTCAGAGGAAGGGCTCAACAAATGAAAGGAACTGGATGAACACAAAGCTGTGTTCCGGCTTAGTAACAGCGATGGGTAGTTTGAGTTTTGCTGCTTTTTTTTTTTTTTATCTAAAAGGGCCTCTTGTTATCAGTATCCCTTCTCTGAGATTGTTCACACTGAAAACTCTGCCCTACAACTGGGAGATAGAAGAAATTGTGAAGACAGATTATAGAATCCAACATCACCAGAGAACTAGTACGGGTCCCTCAACAGGAAGAACAGTGTGTGTATCCAAATAAACCACCTGGGAAACATGCCCATGCCACCCCCCCCTCCGTTTGGAGAACTTCCAGTACCATCCCAACAGCCAAGAGAGGTGATGTGGACTCAGGATTCCTTGAGCCCAATAAAGCCATCATTACAAACAACCTTGACAGTGGGCTTGCCCAAGAAAGACAATGCTAACACTCAAGTTATTCGGCTTCCGTCCAGTAGGTGGAAGCACCACCCAGGCTTGGCCCCTGCTTATTATCTCTGCACCCCTAGGTTACAGCACTGGGTATGTACCAAGAGCGTTGTCTCAAAGTCAAAAGGACTTTGTTGATAGAATTATTATTCCTTTGACTTCAGAACTTATAGAAACTCTACTTCCTGAAGCAGAATTTTAGGGCCAGGAGAGGCCCAGGCAATCAATCACATCATTCACCACCACCCCCAACCAGAGATAAAGAAGCAGGCAAAAGAGATGGTGAGCGGCTTCAAGTTGATCCACAGAAAGACCGATTCCAGGCCCTTCCTTCGCGCCCTGCCCAGTGCGCTTTCCACCCTGGAGAACTCCAGAATAGAGGAGTTGAATCATTGAAACGATATCACGGTGTCAGTTTCATAGAAAACAACAGCCTCAAGTTGGGAGATAACAGGTGGGTGAAAGAACTAAAAAGAAAAAAATACCTAATCTAAAAATAAACTCATCTATGGTTTTAAAAAAAAAGCATATGCAAGGTACGCAGCTCCATTGTGGGTGACAAGTTATTTCTCTGTCCCTCGGATTCCTCGCCTATTAAAATGGGACTGCTCACATTACTCTCATAAGCTCTGTAGAATGGTGCTTAGCACAGGGTAGGAGCTCAGCACATGGTGTCTCTCATTACTGTGGGAATAGTTGCTGGTAAGTACCTACCTCTCCGGATTCTTGATCTCCTCAGTGACATAGTTGAGGGTGTCCCAGCCGGAGTAGGAAAACAATGCTGAGTACAGGGCCAGGGCAATGTCGCCCATCGCATACGATGAACCCTCAAAAGAATTCTCAAAGTGAGAGGTGTTGCCTGGAACCCACAGGACATTGGAAGGCAGAAGCATTAGTAGTTAATCTCCGCCGCCCACCCCATCCCCAACTTCAAGGTGATCCCGTCAAAGAAGTGGAAGGATATGGTCATGACAGCAGACCAGCGGCTCAGAAACAGCAAGGGTGCCAGGGAAGAAACGGGCCTCAGAGAAAGATCTACAGACCTGAGCAGGAATGGAGCAAACAGAATGGGGTCTTGACAAGATGAGCCTGGGGCCACTTTCAAGGACAGGAAGTCCCCTGGGAGAAGGGCAGGTGCACAGGAGTGCTGCTGCCCCATCTGCACACTGTCCAACTCCTGCCCCTTTCTAACTCCAGAGAGAGTTGATTGGAGTAGACACAAGGCGGGTCTCAATATGGCCATGACAGCCGAGTACCTGTCTGGCAGGTGTTCACAACTGAAAAGTGGGGAGGGCTGTGGAGCAAGGAGTTAAATTCTGCCTTTGCCCTCTTCTTTCAAAAATAGTTGGAAAAACAGCCCTAGCATTTCAGTTCATTAATAAGCAAAAGCCAAGTCCCAGGGAAAGACTGGGCTCTTCCGCCAAGATCAGACATCTCTGGAAGGCAGCATGCATAGACGTTAAAACAACAGTCCCGGGTCAGTAGGATCTACCAAGTAAGGTCATAGTGAGGGCTGAATGCGAGCAAGTACCAAGAGTGCTTAGAAACGTGTGGTTCACAGAAAATGCTTAATCAGCATTGTTGTTATTGCTTACCCTGGCCAAGTCTAACAACGCCTGCAATGATGACTGCGATCAGCGCCAATACTTTAGCATAGGTGAAAATATCTTGTACCATGGTTCCCCACTTGACATAGGCACAGTTAATGAAGGTTAAGAGACCTGGAAGGAAAAGAACACTGGTCGGTAACCCTATCACCCGGAGAGCGAGCCAAACACCAAGGGCAAACTCACTGCCCTCCAGAAGATGCCAACTCATAGCGACCTTATAGGACAGGGTAGAACTGTCCGAGACTGTCACCCCTTGCTGACCTTGTAGTGAGCAGGCCAGCACATACCACTATGCCACCAGGCTCCTCAGAGAACATTAGGCTCCCGCATAATTTTTCCAGTACCGCTCATGAAGAGAGATCCATTGGCCAAAGGCAGCATCAGGGTTCAGGCTCTGAGCTCCTCTGGGCTGGCAACTCCCAGAAGTCCCTCACCATTATCATCCAGTAGCACTCACTGAACCCACGTGGGCGGCACCCCCTGGCCCCCCCACCCCACCCTGCACTATGGGAGACATGAAAGAAAGTAACTGCGGCTCTGGGACACACACAAAAAAATGCAGCCAGATTCACAAAGCACGGCGGTGAGAGGCGAGTGATGGTTGTACGGAATGAGGGATAGTAACCCAGCCCACCCACTCTGGGGGCGGTTATTGCTGAATCAGTTAACCTTGGTAAGTCCTATTGTGACTTATCCCATGCCTGGGCCAGCAGGTCAGACGTATGACCAAGGATTAGGATCGGGGCCAGGTTCCCTGCCTGCCAGCTCAGCTGCTTGTTTTCCAGCCTGGAAATATTCCTGAAGCTGAGAGAGGGGCCTGCAAAATGCGGATAAGGCAGTTCTCTGGCCAAACCACGCAGAAGCCAGCGTCACAGCCGAGTAAGAGCAGCTCCCCTTGAACTCAATGGTCTTTCACAAGGTTTGCACATCACTAGAGTCGGGGTTCTTACGCCAGTGCCAGGAGCTTCACGAGCCCTGAAATTCTTTGCAAAATGTTATGTCCATGTGAGCGTATGCATTTTTTCTGAGAGTCCATAGCTTGCATCAGAATCTCAAGGAAGTCTACTTTCCCCCCACACAAGTCATAAACCACGACTTTAGTACACCAAGGAGAGCCCACACAGACAGGAGGGTGACAACTAGCCCCAGAAGGTGGGAGGACGAAAATCGGAAGAAAACATTTCTGAGACTCAGCAGAAAGTTCCCTTTGGTCTCTTCCAGCCTCTTACGCAGTCAGGCGGGCACATTACAACACACTTCCCCACTGGTGGCGGAGGGAAGAAGCACTCCGTTGCACTAGAAGGATGACTTCACAGTCTTCCAAGAACTTCAAGGTCAGAGTCACCCTGACTTCCCAAGAGAGAAACAGCAAGCAACCCCAATATGAGATTGCCTGTTTCAGGCACCGACAGTCAAGTCAGCACTCCCTGCCTCTGAGTTCTACTGGCATGGGTGGTCCTTGGTATCGATCCCAGGGCCTCCCCTGTTTTGGTGTGTTCTGGCCCCACCACACTCGGGCCAGAGAGAAGTCCATCCCTCGAAGCAGGAGAGACCAGACTACCGGAGCCGCTGTCCCATCTTTGAACTCACAGTCTTCCTTGAGCTTTATATTCTACGTAAGCAGGACGTCCAAGGTCTTGTCTGCTCTTTATCAGGCCTTCCTGCCTAACAACCAAATCTTATCACAGGGCTGGGCCTAATGTACCCACAGCTCTAAGCTACCTTGGTCCTAAGTTAATAATTAAAGACACACGTGTCCAGCCCCCACTTAATGACCAAAGTTTCAGTATCTTGCCCTCCACAAATCTTTGAAATTTGTTGATTCCCGGTCAGCCCGGCCAGTCACCTAGCCTTTACTCCCCACTGCACTTCTGCCTCCAGTCATCCAACACCCTTCATCCCCCGTCTCTACCACCTCCCACACAGCTGTCTACACCGGATGTCTGACTCGATACACCAGACAGCCGAGGCTGCCATTTTCACAGTGCAATGGGATCCAGAATGCACCTTCTTAAGTGGCCCTCGGGGTAAGCGTGGACCACCACACTAAACTGGAACGCAGGGAACGGAATCAACAGCCACTGGTTATTCTCAGCTGTTTCAGGATGCCAGCATTCATCTGCTGGCACTGCTGCCACCCTCAAGCCTGACCCTTGTTTCTCGGCTACTGACCCTACCTACCATAGCCTAATCTTCACTCCATGTTGGGCACTAGGGGCTCATTTAAGGAGCCCCAGTGGTGTAGTGGTTATGTGTTGGGCTGCAATCCACATGGTCGGCAGTTCAACATCACCAGCAGCTCCCAGGGAGAAAGATGGGCTTTCTATCCTGTAAACAGTTAAAGTCTCAGAAACCCACAGGGGGACACTACGAGTCAGCATTGACTCGGTGAAGCAAGCTTTGGTGTTTTGAGGGACTCATTTTGAATGAAGGAGGCAATCTTGTGCAACGAAACCAGCAAAGAGAACTTCCTCCTGAGCTCAGCAGCAGGAGCAGGAAGAAGTGTGGCAAGCAGGGAGCTGTGCTGACTAGGCCCTACTCTCTCTGCTCTGTGCGGATACAGCTGACCCCTGGCCACAGAGCCCAGCCCAGCGCGCTGCTCAGAGGCAGGGATGGGAGGAGACCATGGGATTAAAATAATATGGAGGCCGCCCGCCAGTCAAGTTAACTTCAAGGGCAACAACTCCCTACCCTCCCACTTCCAGGTACAATTCAGTCCCCACCCAGTCCCGGGCCAAGTCCACAGGAGGATGGTCAAGGAATCAACTTTGGCCCTTGACTCAGATGCAGCTCCTTTCCCAACTGCAGTGGGGTGAAGGGGAAGCTGTTACAAAAAGTCGCCCCGTAACACCTACAGGGACACTCCCGGAATAGGTCCTCGAGGCCAGCCTACACCAGCTCATGGAAAGGCTGGTGGTGCTGGTCCCAGCTGTCAAGCTAAAAGTCGGGGAAATAAATAAAGGCTGAAAGCTAGGAAAACACTGAGGAAGGCTAATACAGAACAAAGCAGCCTGGTCCACTCTGGGTCAGATGCCCAGGTTTTTGTTTAGATACCCAAATTAAACAGTCCCTAAAAATAAAAAAAATTAATTCAATTAATCCTACAATTCTCCCATCACCATTAGCATCATGCCCAAACCTTCCATCCATCTTCTGCTTCTTATGCCCATGGACTCTTAAGTCCTCCTACTTTTCTTTCAGAGAGACCTCTCACTCTTCCTTACGGTAAGCCAAAAACCTTCTTCTCAACTTCTGAACCCCCACCCCCACACACACCCCGGTGGTCTTTAACCTTTCCTCTAGACTAGCTGATGTGGCTGTAGGTCACTCTTTTTTGTTGGTAACTTGTTTCGGCTGCCGCAGGGGATGAGCGCATCGCTCACGGAGGTGTTTTCATCCCTTCCTGTTCTTCAAGATTGCAGAGATTCCTGGGGGGGCGGGGGGGGGGGGGGGCTCTGGGATCCCAACTCAGGAGGCATTCTTTGCATTTGTCTGCCCCTGAATCCTCAGCCTCTACAGCAATGGCAGTGCCCCCTCCACTCTCTGGACCCCGCTGCTTCGTTGGCCTGCCCACATCCGTTGAACGTGTTCAGGTTAGCCGTTCTCTGAGCTAATGGAAGTTTAGAAGGAAGCTGTTCCCGTGCCTTCTCCTTGCTCCCGTCATTTGTTACCACAGAACGAAGTGCACCCCGCGCATCCAGAGCTGACCTGCCGTTCTCACAGAGCATTCCTTTCAGAGCAGTTGCCATCCTTACCCGTTTCTGTTGTTCAAAGCCCACTCCCTGCCATGGTGTCCGTGCTGACTCGGAGCGACCCCCTGTGGGTTTCCAAGACTCTGTTTCCGGAAGGAAGCAGAAAGCCCAGTCTTTCTCCCAAGGAGCTGCTGGTGGTTTTGAACTGCCGGCCTTGCGGGTCTCAACCCAATGTGTAACCACTACACCACCAGGGCTCCTTCTGTTATTGTTCACTGTCACGGAAAACAGAACAAACCACCGTCGTGTGCCATCCTCACCATCACTGCTGTTTGTGTCCATGTCGCTGAACCTCTAGTTTACCACGCATGATGCCCTTCTCCAGGAACCAGTCCCTCCTGACAGCAAGTCCAAAGTATGTGAGACAAAGTCTCGGCATTCTTGCTTCTAAGGAACGTTCTAGCAATATTTTTTTCTGAGAGAGTTGTTTGTTCTTCTGGCAGACCATGGTATATTTAATATTCTTCACCTACACCATAATTCCAGTATATCAATTCTACTGTCTTCCTTATTCACTGTCCAGTTTTTGCATACAGATGAAGCGATTGAAAACACTATGGTTTAGGTCAGGTGCACCTTAGTCCTCAAAGTGATATCTTTGGTTTTTAATACTTTTAAAGGGTCTTTGGCAACAGATCTGCCCAATACAACGCATCGTTTGATTTCTTGACCACTGGGCATTGATTGTGATCCCAGTAAAACAGAAGGCTGGACGACCGCCATCTCATTCATCACGATGGTCTGGTCGGAAGGAATTTGTTGTGCTGATGTTGAGGGTAATCAACAGAAACGGGGTGGTTGGCGGGGATGGTCTCTGATCTTCGGTCTCCTTGGCTTTCAGCCAGCAAGGCTGTGTCATCTGCATATGGTGGTTTGCCAGGAAGGCTTCCTCCGATCCTGATTCCATGTTTGTCTTCAGACAGTCCAGCTTCTTGGATTCTTTCTTGCAGCCTGTCTAGGGGCTACTGTTTTTCTCACACTGTAACTGACCCTCCAACTCTGACCACTTCAGCTAGAGAACCAGTTCACTTGACTCAGGTACATGGCCCAGGGTTGCTGGCCGGAGACATACCATGCATCCACCCTATGGGTCACTGGGTCAGACTCTTCCTCCTTCCCTCCTGGACGCCGGTCAGCACTTCAATCCCAGTGGCTCTCCACCACCTCGACGTGGCAAGCAGGCAGTTTGTGTGCAACCCATTGCTGGGGAGTTGATTCTGACTCATAGCAGCCCTTTAGGACAAAGTAGACTTGCACCATTCGGTTTCCAAGGTTGTAAATTTTCACAGAAGCAGACTGCCCCCATCTTCCACACAGTGACTGGTGGATTCGAACTACTTACCTTCCCATTAGTATCCT